TAACAGGGACCAGAGTAGAAAATATTTAAATGCTTTAGATGCCAATAGACTTATAGCAAACTAAATATAATATAGCCAATCAGCAGCTTAAGTTTTGTAATATGCATGAGCTAATTATGTAACCACATATAAGCCTTCTGATTATTGCCAATAAACGAGTTCTCGATGCACCAATCTGATAAGGTAGTCGAGTTCTTCCTTTTCCAACAAAATGGTGACCCCGACGTGATTAAATCGGAACACCACAGTTGGAGAAGTTGGGTTGGACTTCGTCAGCGACCGCGAAGTGGTGCAAACGACAAAAAGAAGAAAAAAGGAAAAAGAAGAAAAAGGAGCCAGGACGCACCCCCACTGGCTATACAGGTAGCAGTGGGCCATACGCGCCACCGGAGCCTGGAGAGTCACAACTCTACTAGCACTAAATATGGACAGGCAAGTGACGTATGATTTATTTTTTACGGTGTTGGAAAAAAGAGGTATCCCCGGTTTTGAAGTTAAAGAAATAAGAAAAGAGGTTCTGCCTTTGGTAATTTGGGAAGTAACTAAAGACAAGTTTGCAAATCCCCATGCTATTCATAATATTGTAGAATGGAAAAAGTTAGGTGATAATATCAGGAATGCTCTGTTAGACGATGATAAAACAGCAAAAAGATTAAGGAAAGTGTGGAAATCAGTCTATCAGTCTCTTACACAGCAAATTTTAGAAAAGAAAGCAGAAAAAGAGGCAATTGAAATCAGTAAAAATAATACTGGAGTGATGCAGAAGAGAGAGGTGCTAGCACCCAGTACTAATACAGTCATGCTGCCTTCAAGCAGTGCAGCGGCGTCTCTCTCGCCCTCCGTGCCGCCTGCACTCAGGCCGCCTTTAGGCAGTGGAGAAACGTCTCCCTCGCCCTCAGCGCCGCTTGCGCTGTCAGCACCCCCCTCGCCCTCAGCGCCGCCTGCGCTGTCAGCACCCGTGGGTGGCTCTGTGCCAGACTCTGTATTATCCAGTACTGCCAAGACTGCGCCAGCCAGCTCCCCACAGCAGCACTCTGTTTCGCAGTCGGCACACGATGCTGGGAGGGGGGAGACCAGCGGAGGGGGGAGGAATGGTGGACGCTGGCGGGATGAGAGAAGGAGGAGAAAACGGTCCGTTAGCACGAGAGAGAGGCAGAGCGACCAGTCGTGTGTCCGAAGGGGAGTGGGACGGGACCACAGCCCGGGCAAGAGGCACGGCAAACCGGAAATAATCAGTCATTCGAGTTCGGACACTGAGTCAGACACGAACCGGGAGAGGTCACAAAGCGAGAGACGAGAGAGGGGGGAACGAGATGCGACTGATTTGAATACGGTAAAAGAGAAAAGGAATGCAGATGTAATTGTAAATAAAAATAAAAATAAATCTGAGCCACAGAAAAAGCTAACCCCTCTCACAGACTGGAAGGAAATTAGAGCTACCTGTGCAGAATGGGCTACGTCAGCTTCACTAGCATTCCCAGTTCAAATCAAACAGACTGAGAGTGAAACTTTTACACAGTTTGTAAACCGTCTTCAAGCGGCGATTGATTCCTCCTCCCTCCCCTCGGAGGCAAAAGGCCCAATCCTTGCAGATTGTCTGTGCCAGCAATGTAATTCAGCAACCAAGGACATTCTGCGATCCTTGCCTGCTGCAGCCAGTATCGCAGACATGATTAAGCATGTCACAAAAGAAAAGCATTTTGCCCCAATGCAAGTGGCTGTTCACACAGCAATAGCTAATGCAATGGTGTGTTTTAAATGTGGTCAGCCAGGACATGTGGCAGTAAACTGCCCCCAGCTCGGAAGTCCGGCAATAATACATCCCTCTCCTCAAATCAAACCTAGAGGGCCGTGTCTTGCATGTAAGAAAAAAGGGCACTCTGCTAAAGATTGTAGATCTAAAAATCAAGAAAACGTGAAGGGGAGGGAGCAATGCAACTGCCCTGGCCGCACCCAGCCCCCTCCCACTTGGAACATGAGGCGGCCACATATGAATGTAGCTACAAGGCATAAAACACCTCTGAACCTGACACTTTCCCTACTAATGAAAACTACGAGCTTTTACTTGCAAAATTGGGTCATCGGACACCCTCGGAACCAGTACAGCCCAGTGCCAGAAGAGAACAACACGCCGACCAACACCCTGTCCAACCCTGCGGGCTCGGCGCAGACAAAGGCCAGACAGCAACAAGCACTTAAGTCACTGTCCGAGGTGGTTCTGCAAAATTGCAAAAGACTAGACATTCTGTTCTTACAAGCAGGCGGGCTGTGTACTGCTCTTAAAGAGGAGTGCTGCGTTTTCACAGTCCACACAGGGTTAGTGAAAGACACCATGACCAAGCTGCGAGAGAGATTAGAAAGTCGAAAAAAAGACAGGGCCTGGCGTTCGGAAGATTTCGGGATGTACGGAAAGAAAGGGACCAACCCCCTCCAATACCTGTGAAGGAATGTGTTGTCTAAACCTATCAAATCACTCCACAAGCATTCATAACAAACTCCAGAACCTGAGAAAAAGGCTTACCCATGTAACCGTGGACACAAATATCTGGAGTTTAGACACTTGACTGAAAGGACTAGGCCTATCCGGCTGGCTGCGCACCATAGTCTTTTATGTTATAGTGGGACTTGTTATCTTACTCAGACTTACAATACTCATTCCATGTATACTCTCCTGTGTGCAAAAAATACTTAATAATATGGTTTCACGACTGTGGCAAGCCAATGTCGTTCAACTTACAGAAAACGGGGGAGATGTGGAAGATATTGTAATGCAATGGTTAAAAGAAA